AAAAAAAAAAAAAAAAAAAAAAGAAGACAACATCCGGATATCCATGCTTGCACCCCTACCACCCCCAAGAATAAAGAGATTTAGTGAGATAATATATGTGTATATAAATTTACTTTTTGGAAAAACTTCATCCCAGAAAAAGAAAATCCAAGTCAAGACAGTGTTCACATTACATCATCCCAAGAGGGACTGAATAATATATGAGACAAGGTCTGCTCTTTTGTTTTAATTTGTCATGAGTGAGCTAAGCCTTATGGGACTCCCAGCTCTAATCTCAACTACTATCCAGAAGTAAAAAACAGGCCTCTGCACTCCCAAACCTCGGCAGGCTGAGAAATGCCACAAGCACGGGGCTGCGTTGCTCAGATCCAACCAAACCTGGATTGTTCGGCCATTCCTTTGAATATTCATGCGGTGCATTTCTGTCTTTAAAATGTGGTTTGAGAAATGTCCCTGTTCCTGAGACTCTGCGAAGTTTGAAAAAAAAAACCCTTTCAAAGACATCATTTACAGTTTAGGCTTTGAAACTGCCATCTTATTCATTTTAATATGCGCACATTTGAGAAGCCTCTCTTTTCTTCTGTTTGTTTTTAGTTGAATTAGCAATCACTTTCAATGCTTGGGTCTTAGGGCGATTTCATCACAATGCCAAAGAAATTCAGTGAACCACCCACAAAAGCATTCTGACCTGTACCTGGATTATACGTGTCTTCCAAATAGCCTCCCAGATCTGAATCACTGTCAGGACTGAAGCTGTCTTCGCTGGTATCATCAAATAACTTCTCGTCACAGTCTGGATCCAGGAATGTGAGATACGTGTAGAATGATGTGGTGAGGAATTCCGAGAGGTTCCCCAATTTCACTCTGCCAAGAAGACACCATGTGAGGGATGGATACAGGTGGAGTGTGGACAAATTTCTGCTATGAATCACTGAGAAACTTTTCAACAACCAGGGGAGGGCTTCTGCCAGAATCAATAAATATATTACTTTGCAGATTGCTCCATATAAGTAGTCAGCCAAGAGCTAAAACAAAAATTCAATAGCGAGTACAAAGTGAAAGTACTCAGCATATTAAAAGTCAAATAAATCATGCTGATTTCTTCCTCCCAAGCCCAACACAAATATAAATCTGTTTTCCTGAAACAACCAAAAGTTTTACAAAATAAATCGAGCAAACCACTTTTAATCAGAACAACCCATGTCTTTTGTTTTGCTTTTTGTTTGGTTTTGGCCCTACAGTGGCTGGAACAGAAGCAGCAATTCTTTATTTATGAGTTCCTGACACAAAATGCAGTCCGCACGGGCGCAAGGGCGTTAAAATGGAAGAGCAAGTTCTTTAGAAGGAATCTGATGGGCAGGCCATCCCTGGCCTGGAGCAGAGGCCCTGAGTGGCCCTATGACATCAAGGTGGGCACAGTTCCACTAAAAACTGGAAGCTGGGTTGGGCAGCCCAGCTCCAGGTTCTGCAGGTGTAGGGGGGGATTTCCACCCTGCAGAAAGAAACATTCTCACAATGTTAGATCGGGAAACAGAAAATGACAAGGATCCCTCCCTCAGAGCTACCCGCATCAGATTGTGACAGAGATTTAAAGGCTGAGAAAAACAGCTGAGAAGCCTGAGGTCGCAAAGGGAAGGAATCCACAGGGGCTGGAGTTTCAGGCAAACCGGCAGGCAGATGGCCTGAGGGACTAAAAACCCTTCCCTCAATTGAGTAACCCCCGGCCCTCACCCCTGGGCCAGTTCTAAGGATTGTTTAGTTTTGCCCTGGGGTTGTGGAGGAAAAAACAGGCTGCAGTGAGTAAAGGCAATGGAAAGTTTTTCTGTGATGGAGGTGAAAGGAGTCAGGTTGATGAGGCTAAAGACTGCTCCAAGGCAGGGAGGCCAGCACTTAGAGAGGCTTTTAATGAATAACAAACCACTCCAGTGGATCCAAGGGGTAGCATCTCGCTGAGTTCAGCTTTTAAAAAATCTTTAGAACTAAAGGAAAAGTAAAAATGGGATGCAACCTGAATCAACAAGAACATATTTATCTTTGCAGTATAATTTTTTTTTTTTGAGACAGACTCTCACTCTGCTGCTCAGGCTCATAGCACAGAGCCACCTCAAACTCCTGGGCTCAAGTGACCCTCCTGCCTCAGCCTCCCCAGTAGCTGGGACTATAGGTACCCACCATACTGCCCAGCCAGTTTTTGTATTTGTAGTAGAGACAGAGTCTGGCTCTTGCTCAGGCTGGTCTTGAAATCCTGAGTTCAAGGGACCCTCCTGCCTCGGCCTCCCAGAGGGAGTGCTGGGATTACAGGTGTGAGCCACTGCACCCAACCTGCCATAGAATTTTTAATAATTTATTGGATTAATGTGGTTATATGTATGTTCCGATAAGTTATAACTACGTTAATTTTATAATATAATTTATGAATTATTAAAATCTTAATGATTAAGAACTGTGGCTCTCCGAATTTCCTGTCATGCCCTGTCTACAGGAGGGCCCCCTTCTGCCCTGGAGCCCTCATCCAGCTCAGCACGCAGGGTTAGAGGCCAGCTCTGGCAGTCATAGAGCTCTGCACCCACTCCCCTGGTGGCCCTGGCTCTCTGAGCCTGTAGTTCCTTGTCCACCAAATGGGAATATGGCCCATGTCATGATGCGGAGGCTAAATGAGACCGCAAGCAGAACACGCTGCGAGTGCTCAATTAACTGCCGACGCTAGCCTTTTAACAAAGATGAGATCGCAATGAAAGCGAAATGGTTAATTACAGGCCTATGACATTTTTTCTCCATTATGATGCCGCACACCAGGTGGTAACTTATCCAAACCCGAGGGAAAATATACAAAAGTGGATGCAGAGTGCAGTAGCGGCACTAGCCTCCGAAGAGTACACGGCAAAATGCTGGGGCAATTTGGCTGATGTTCCCAACAGAAAGGCCAGGAGAAGCGTGAATCAAGGGCCACCTCATATCTACAGCAAAACCTACAGTAAGCTCTGTGGGCGGAGGCAGCGACCTCAGCGGGCACCGCAAATGACTGAGGCCAGAGTGAGAAATCTGGCCACTTAACCTGAAGCATCACGCTAGGTGAGATGAGCTAGTCACAGATTGATTACTACTGTGATGCCACTCAGATGAGCTGTGTGGAGTCGCGCCCACAGAGACAGAAAGGAGGGCGGGCGAGGGGGGCAGGGAGAGCTGGGAAACGATATAGTTTTACTTTTGCAAGGTGAGGAGTTCTGGAGATTGGGTGCATTGGGACGTGGCTGTCCCTCCCACGACTGAACTGTACACTTCCAAGCGGGCAGGATGGTAATGTTATGTTATCTGTATTTTACTTCAATTTCAAGAAATGACAGTGACTTCCCTTTGGTAGCAGGGTCCATGGGGTAGGAGGATAAGGGCAGCTGTTTCAATTCCCAAACACTTTTAGCAACTGGCATTCCGTCAGGGACCACGTGGAAGCTTCCCTGAGCCCCAGAAAGGCCACATCAGAGCCAGGCCCCACAGGGCCCTTCTGGCATATCCCAGAGGATCTGGGGAAAAGAGGGCATAGATGCTACAGGGAAATCCTCTCTCAGCCTTGTGACAAGTCAGAGGCCACAAAAATGGAAGGGGGTTTCCTGGCAGGTCAGCCCCCATCATTCAAGGTACTTAAGCATAATAACTGGGCATGCTGTCATACTTTGGGCCTGTAAACAGGAACGGGGCTTGTTCTGCTCATAGTGAGGCAACAGTGATCTACGTAGGCCGATTCAGTTGCTTTTGCTATGAGGGCCACTAAGGAATTTGTCAGGTTCTATGAATTATTCTTAAGGTGACAGCACACTTGATCAGTGTGAGGAGTGTAGGAGTGTTTCCTGGGCATCTGCTGGATCCTAGGCGCTGGGTGTTTTCTGCCACAGAAACACACGCTGCGTTCCCCGCATGCACTCCCAGAATAGGGCCTGGTAGGTTCACCTTCCTGGGTTCGAGGCCTGCTGGGGTCTATGAACACTTAAAAGATATCAACCAAATGCTATTTTAGAGCTAAGTCAAGTTTCACAAGGGAGACTGGTTACACAAGTTTTAACCTCCCTGTACTCTAAAAGTCCCTGGTTCCATGCTCAGCAACTGATATGAAAAATGAGAGATGGACAGCAAAAGATGTTAAGAAGGGTCAATGCCACTCTTATTTTTTTTTATAAATCACAGATTACCTCGCTCCTCCAAAATACCCATCCTCTAGTTTTCGAATTGTGGAAAGAACTGCAGGATGAATGTCTGAGTCATCATTTGCTAAGAAAAGAAGAAAAGATGAATTAGTCTACTTAGACTGGGAATACTTTGTTTTCCCCTGGTATGCACTGAAATGCGTTCATCAACACATCTAATGAAAAGACTTTTGGCAAAGAAGATTCCCGAGATAAGAAACCAAAGTGCTAAGAACACTCCCCACTCCCAGTCCTTAACTCTGTCCATAGGAGCCATTTGAAGAATTTGGAAAGGGACCCAAACCCCCACTGGGCAGTAATCAGCCCTTACTGAGCATGGTGTGAGTGATGGGGAAGGTGAGCGTGGGTCTGCCCGTCATCCGCCAGCAGGTGCACAGGTAGGCCAGCTCAATCCTCAGCATCTCCACGATCATCTCGTTGTCCAGGGCCAGGTAGAAGTGATGCTGGTCGGTGAACTGAAAGGCAGGAGAGGCCAGGTAAGAGCCTGCTCTTTGTTTACCTGCAATGCCAGCTGTCACTCAGGGCAGCACTAAGCCTGGGGGTTTATTGCCAGGGAAGAGGCTCAGTGCTGCCTTTAATCTGCCCGGTCATGGGGCTGCTCTCCTCGAGATCAGATAAATTAGTCTGCTGCCTGCCCAGAAGCCATCACTCTCTTCCTGCAGAAGGGAAAGGTGTCCTGTTAAATCTATATTCAGCTCCGCAGATGGGGATTTAAGCATCTTGCCCAACACTGCTGTCTCTGAAAGCAAATCAATAATTCCTTAATTCCTACTCCTTCCAGGGCTACCTGGTTTGAAGATGCTTTCCAAGCAGGGTGCTGAGAGCAGATGAGATGTGGAGACTGGTAGCCTGATTGATGGCCTGGTTAATGTCAACTAAAGGCACTGCTGCCTGATGTCGATGAAAATCAAATTGTTCTCCTGGCTTCTAGAATAGTGCGTGCTCAGCTTTGGACTATAATTTGTTACTAAGGGAAACAACTCACAAGATTTCAGTGAGCCAGATTGGGGCTCCTGACCCATGACCAGCTGTGTGCCTGGGTCAAGTGAGGGCTGGACCTGTACTGTCAAAGTAACACCACTGCTGGTCTTTCTAGTTGCCCAAATGGGTGGGAGATGTTTGGTATGGGCTTCCTCGGGGCTAGTTTTCTTCAGAAACAAAATCTGCGCAGATAAGTTCCATAATCAGTATATTTAATATCTCAGTAAGGAGGATGGGGCCTGAAAATCAGACTGGCTGTGTGTTAATGCAGAGGGTCCAATGACAGCCTACACAAGGGTTGGGGACTATTGCTATTGGGGTACAAGGGTTATGAGTTAAGTAACATGTCACTAGCAAATTTCTAAAGCAGTGTGAATTTCACTAAATTTCATGGCTAGAAGTGATGGTACGCTGAATTCCATTCAATCAACATTTATTGAGCACCCACAGACCTCCCATTTGACCCTGCAGTCCCACTACTAGGCATCTACCCAGAAGAAAAAAAAATGTTTTATAATAAAGACATTTGCACTAGATTGTTTAAATTGCACAGCTCAATTTACAATGGCCAAGATACGGAAACAACCTAAATAACTGTTCATCAACTCGGGAATGGATTAACAAACTGTGAAGCAAGTATATCATGGAATACTACTCAGCCGTAAAAAAGACGATGGCTTCACATCTTTTGTATTAACCTGGATTGAGCGGAAACACGTTCTTCTCAATAAAGCATCACAAGAATGGAAAAGCAAACTCCAATGTACTCAACACTAATACGAGGCCAGTAGATGATCTAATTCATGCCCACATAGGAGAAAAATCATTTCAATTCAAGTTGGGGGGAGAGGAGAAGAAGGATTTGGGGTGCTCCCACTGAATGGGCACACTGTGGGGGTGTATGGCACACCTTTTGGGCATGGGACATAACTCAAGATGGACTCTACCTAACACATTCAAATATTATGACTTGGTTGCTTATACCCTCACATGAACCTGAAATTTAAAAAAAATAAAAATTAAAAAAACCCAACAACAACAAAAAAAATTAAGAATGAATATTACCACCAAAAAAAAAAAAAAGACACCAGGTACCGAGTGTCACTGCAGGTCTCTATCCAAATCCATGCATGCAGAATTCCGCCACACTCAAAGTAGAAAAGCTTGCAGGACAGCAAAGGGGACGTACTAAAAGGTTGTTCTTCTCACCTGGGGTGTAAAAGTAAAGATTTGGTTCCTAATCACATATAGTTTAGAGGTTCCAAGGACGCCAATGTGCCGATACGGTCGCCCACTCAGTTTCATATTCTTATTCCGTCCTATTTTAAAAATAAAAGAGAAACTGGAGTTAGAGGAAACGCAGTAACAGCTGCTCTGGGTGAGTCAGGCTAAGGCCGGCTTATCTTTCCATTAGACAACCCACTCCGGCGTTTGGTTTTTCTACTACCATCTTCCTTCTTTAAAATGGGACAAAGCGGAAAGTCAAACCAAATGCCACCCCCCTTCTCTTCATGCATGTACATGAAGACACCCAACTCCATCTCCTTGGAACAAAACTATTAAAAGAACTATATTAACATGTACTTTTCAATTATTTAGCACTGAACCATCATATGAAGAAGTGAGATGCTAGAGAAAGTGAAGAGAACTTTACTTTCTCCTGTTCTGATACCACAGATAAAAATTAGAAGCATTATCCACACACACATGACGCTTCCCACTGTGACTTTTCAAAGGTGGCCCCTTATTGTACAGCAGACCTGGCGAGTCGTACGGCCAACCCGTGGTGGCATCTACTGAATGCTGGTTTGCCCCTTTCTCTTCACATGGAAGCAGCGGAGAGAACCACCTGCTTTAGTGTTTTGCCCAATTCTTTAGAACTTACATGCATCAGTCTCCCTCAGACCCCAAACCTAGAACCAAGACGTCCTCTTGCCCAAAACACCATGATTCTTCCTCCAACCTACCAAGCTTGGCATATATGTGACTAAGAATCCGGCCTGGCTGGACGCGAATGGGATGAATGTCTGCGATGCTCTGCACGTTTACCCCGTGTTTCTGCAACAACTCCTTAATGTGACTGTTTTCGGCCAAAACAGTAACTGTCAAAGAGAAGATCAGAGAATGTGCACTAGATCGTGACTCTGCATAGGTGTCATGCTGCTATGCTCTCTTCTGCCTGATGACACGCACATTAGCATGCTCTGCCACGCACAGGTTGGCCTTGGAAATGACAGCGAGCAACCTGCTGCTCTTCCTAGTCTCTCTGTCCTTGTCACCCCCGACACCCACAATGCATATTTATCAAGTGCCCTCAAGGTGCGAGACAGTCTGATAAGAGGTCCCAAGCCAAGTCACCCCACATCAAATAATGCCTTGCCTCCCTCTGGGTCTGCATTTAGTCTGAAAGTGTCTTGTGTCCTTTCCACAGGTGTGGAAACAGCTCTGCTCAGGGGATGCCAGGAGAAGCCTGTGACCCTGCTTCTACAAAACAGGGACAAGAAGAATGACGTGGCAGAATCTGCTGGCAGGTGCACTTCCACTGAGGCTTCCCTTAACACCTCTGTCTTCTGAAGCTTCCATGGCCTGCAGAACTCCATAGAATTTCACATTTATCAAAATCGCACAATGGCCTCTCTCCGTAGGGGGAACTCTTTTAGAGCACTGGTTTTGATGGAGACCCAGGAGCCACGTGGATAAGTTCCTAAGACTGCACTGCCCTTACTCCATGCCAGATCCACTGAAAATTTCTCCTTTATTCTACCCTATGACATTAAAAAGGTGCTGGTTAGGATCCACCAACATATTCCAGCCTGCAGCTGGAAAGCAGGCTTGGAGATTGAAGAGACTACTGAGGCCTGGCGCAGTGGCTCACACCTGTAATCCTAGCACTCTGGGAGGCCAAGGCAGGTAGACTGCTTGAGCTTAGGAGTTCAAGACCAGCCTGAGTAAGAGGGAGACCCCGCCTCTAAAAAAAAAAAAACTAGCCAAGCATTATGGCTGGCACCTGTAGTCCCGGCTACTTGGGAAGCTGAGGCAAGAGGATCACTTGAGCCCAAGTGTTTGAGGTTGCTGTGAGCTATGATGATGCCACAGCACTCTACCAATGGTGACAAAATGAGACTCTGCCACAAAAAATAACAATAACAACAACAACAACAACAAAAACAAAAACCAGAAGAAACTACTTAGCAGGATATGCACTGGCTCAGGCTGGGATGACACAGGCAGCTGGATCAGCCCATCTGGATGTCAGAATGGGCTCTTATCCCCAGCAGCCAGTGGAGAGGCCTTGAGTGAGTAAGGTAACCTCTAAGCCTCGGGGGTAAGGTGGAGATGATCATAATTGTCAACGCACATGTGACCTTATCAGAATGTTGTGACAGGTGTGTCTGCGGCGGGCCTGCCTCACAGCATCGATTGTGTGACAACCCGCAGCTCATCTCACTGTATCATGGGCACGTGCAGCGGAAATGAGCCGGCAGCCACAGAGAGGAACACTCATCTGTCCAGTCACCCCTTTCAACGGGCGTATGTGGCAATGAACATAGAAGCCATAAGAATGATGTGGGCCTTGTCTTTAAGAAGTACGCAGTCTCATCTCTGGGCAATACGGTGCCTACACAGCGTGCTATGACATTAGATATGTGAGTGCTCTGTGAGTTGCCAGGGGTCCTCCCTCAGAGGGGAGGAGGGAGGAGGACTTGCTGTACCCAGCACACCCCACAGGCCAGGCGCTGCACAGAGAGGTCCCCAGATTGCAATCTCAATTCATCATCTCAAGAAGATTTGGTAAGAGCACAAAGTCTAAGGCCCCCAGGCACAGACAGGCAGAGTCAGGCTGGCCTCCCACCTCTCCAGAGGAGGAGCGGGCCAGAGAGAAGGGCGAGGGAGGTGGACACAGCTGAAAGGCAGAAAGAGCGCAGAACTCCAAGGGAGGAATCAACCACCCTCGTTTGGGCTCTGAGTTTTTTACCAGGTTCAGGTTCCGTTTTTCAAAGAATAACAGTTGTGGAAAATGACGTTCAATGAATCATTTGTGCTCCAGCTGCAATCAAGGTTTAGATTCAAGAAAACAATTGCTTTGTAGAAAGTCAGTCTGTGCTTAGGCAAAAGACCCTTGCCTTTGGGAGCTACTGAGTTAGATAAGGTACCTCGCAGAATTGCTATATGCCAGAGCACACGCACAGATGTATTCTTTAATTAAATAAGAAGCCAAGAAATACTCAGAATTAAAAATAACATTGGTTTTACAAAGTTAAATTCGAATAGTAAACATGCTCACAAACCTTGCACCACAACATCAGGTTTGACTGAAGTGGAAAATCGTCTATTTAAGGGATCAATTTCACCAGCGGCAAGGAATCCCTATGAAAGAGGGAGATTGACACTATTAAATGGTGATCAACTAAAATTTCATCTCCGACCTAAGTTGGAAAATAAAATATTTTAGGGCTCAAAATATTCAGTATTTTTTTCTTTACACTTTCTGAGTCAATGTCTTATTTTCCCTGAAACAGAGTGTACCATTCAAATTGCCACTAACGTACTGTATTTGGGGCACCTAGGTCTCTAGGGCTAGTCAAATCTGCCATCATCTGAGCAAAAAGAATGGTCACTGATACATCCTGAGCTCTTACCATGTGCTGGGCGCCGTGCTGAGCCCCTGTATAGACACTGTCACATGTAGGCCTCCTAAAAGGCAGGTACCACCATTGTCACCATTTTTCAGGTGGGGAAACTGAGGCAACACCCTTAAGGAAAGTGCAGAGTGAGGACTTGGCCAGGGGCTGACTTTCCTGAAACATAAAGCTCCCCCCCCCTATAAAGAGCGCTCTTTGAATCAGTATAGCCTCACACTGTCTGTAACGATCCCACCTCTAAGCCAGGGGATCAAGGTGTTCTGGAAGTTCTAAGGCGGCACTGGACCTAATGCCAGGCCCAGAGAAAGCCTGTACATTGGAGAGAAGGACGCAGAGGAGTGCAGTTACTCATTTCCCATCTCACTGATACAGAAACCAGAGCTGGGAGGTATCACGGAGATGACCAAGTCCAACCTCTTCATTTTACAGATGAGGAAACTGAGGCCCAGAGAGGTTAAGAGGCCTACCCCGAAATTAAAGAGGTAGTCAGGGACAGAGCTAGCTTTCCAAAGGAGATATATTCATTTTCCCTACCAAGCATAAGACACAGTCCCGACCCCAAGGACATGACCCACTGGGGAGACGAGGGGTACCCACGAAACAACTCCTCCCCAGCAACCACAGCTCCCAAGGCAGCTTCCACTGTGACAGCTTCAACCTGGCATCCCTACCCACTGCTCCCTCCCCCATTTCTAGAGCCTGGCAGAGCACATAGGGAGGGCTGGCCTTAGGGGTGGGCAGCCCTGCCTCTCCCCAGAAGGAAGGACGACCCCATCTGATAAAGTTACTCACACTTAGGACTGGGGGATTCATTTTGAAGCAGCTCAAAAACATTTGCATTTTAAAAATAAAGGCTGGGGGGCAGCACCTGTGGCTCAAAGGAGTAGGGTGCTGGCCTCATATACTGGAGATGAGGGGTTCAAACCCAGCCCTGGCCAAAAACTGCAAAAAAAAAAAAAAAAAAACCCAAAACCAAAAAAACAATAAAAATAAAGGCTGAGGGCAAATAACACCTGATGCAAAATCCACCACAGAAAATGTCCCCGGGGCAACGTATGGCAGGTAGGGTAGCTCTGCCAGTAAGGAATCCCAGCATTCTGGGAGGCCAAGAGGGGAGGATCTTTTGAGGTGGGAGTTTGAGACCAGCATGAGCAAATCCTGTCTCTACAAAAAACAGAAAAATTAACTAAGCATGGTACAGCATGCCTGTAGTCCCAACTACTTGGGAGGCTGAGGTGTGAGCATCACTTTAGCCCAGGAGTTGGAGGTTGTTGTGAGTTATGATGCCACTGCACTCTAGCCCTGGTGACAGAGAAAAACCCTATCTCAGAAAACAAAACAAAACTACTCCGGGAGGCCGAGGCAGGTGGATTGTTTGAGCGCAGGAGTTGGAGACCAGCCTGAACAAAAGCAAGACCCTGTCTCTACTAAAAATAGAAAAACTTGCCAGGCATTGTGGTGGGCACCTGTAGTCCCAGCTACTCAGGAGGCTGAGGCAGGAAGATCACTGGAGCCCAAGAATTTGAAGTGGCTGTGAGCTATGATGATGCCACGGCACTCCACCCAGGGCCAAGAGCAAGACTGTCTCAAAAAAACAAAACAACAAACAATCAAAATGCAGCCTGCTGTCTCTTCCTGCAGAGAGCCCCATAATCCTGCTTGCTGGGCCTAGCACTGAGGCAAGGGTGGCTAGAAGCCACTCTGGTAGTTTCCTAAATCCTGTATCTTCCAGGATCAGCTGTGCTAATCCTGGCTAAGCAGCCTCCAGCTGCTGCTCACCATCAACTCACACAGGTTCTAGCCAAAGACCAGGAACGCAGGAGGGGGCTGGGAGGCTCGGCATGCAGCTGACCCGGAAGCAGTTTAATATAAATGTGGCTACACAAGGCCAGAAGTCAAGCCTGGGAGCCGACGCAGTGCAGCTGACCTTAAAGGCATGAAGCTGCAGAAGACACCCACACTCACACCTGGCAGAGCCCTGTGATCTTCCCGGGGTCCCTTGCACCTCCAATCAGACAATTTCCAGCCTGTGAGGCTATAAGCCCCTACCTCTGCCAACAGCGAGCTGAGGATGTATAAGGACTGGCCCCATAGATGGGGCAGCTTGCCCAGAGGAACTCTGTCCACTGTGTGAGGGTTCTTGTACTCTTCATCCACCTGGCAAAGAAAGAAAAACCCAAAGTCAGAATATCAGATGACCGAAGGCCAATGGCCCCTTCCCCTGGGGAGTGCGTGCAGGATTTGCAAAGTGGTGCTCATCCTCCACGGGGATTCCTGGCTACGAGCGGCAGAGGTGGGACTGGCCTGACTCCTGGGCAGTGCTCTTCCTGCAAGCACACTCAAGGAGACAGGCGCTGGAGGCCTGACCTGCCTTCTTTGTGCACAGCTCTAGGCGACCAGCAGTGTCACAGCTCATACTTACAGTACTGAACCCAAACAGCCTACCACCCAGTCTGGTTTCTTCCATCTCATTTACAAAGTGTGTGCCTGTGCAAAAGAATGACCAGAAGGTGGCGCTCTTCACTAGGAAAGTCAAGGGCTCTCCTAGCCTGCTCAGCCTCCTTTCAGGGCCTCAAAAAGCCAAATCCAATAGAGGCTTCTGTCTCATCAAAATAAGCTCCAGTGCCCTTTGTGCTGGGCAGTGCTGGCTGCACACTGTGAGTCAGTCTGCAACTTTCTCTCTTTTAAAGAGAGAAGCTCCGTGCTGGCCTTTGAGTTTTCACTTATCACAACATTGGTTGCCGGTAGTGTCAGCAACCACTTTTTTCCTCCAGGAAATATAAGTCAATCAAGAGAAATAGGAGACACTTATCCTCCTCCAAGGAGCACAATCACACCATGAGCAAGCCATTCTCTGCTTGTGGATTAATCAGCCGTATTATTAATATATTTCGTTAAGATTTTAATTTTTTCAGTAGTAGTAAACATTAAGAAAATCTTAAGTGCACGAAATGAACAGGATTAAATGTTAGTAATCAAAATAATTAAACAGGATAATAGTGTGAAAGGAGCTTTGAGTAGTAGGATTAGCGATAAATATTTTCTTTCTACGGAATCTGGCTGTTTTGTAATGCACAAGATTACTTTTCGAATAATCAGTACATTAAAGCTGTTTGAAATATAAGTAGCGTTAAGAAAGACCACAAAGATCTAGAATGAGAAATTTTTAATGCAAAGAACAGAAAGCAGACGAGGAGTCCGTGTCATAGGACAGCCTGGCTTTGCACTCCTCCCACCCACAGGTCAACTCCTGCCTCAGTGTGGAGGTGTCCCTGCTCCCATGCACTGGGGTCCTTCCAAACTGCTCGCAGGTCCTCAAAGGCACCATGCTTTTATCACCGCCACCGCCACTCCTGTGGTCCAGCTCCTGGATCTGCTCCCCTGGCCCTCACTAGCCTGTGAGCTCACAGAGACAGGGCTGGGACTGTAACCACCTTTGTGTCCCAGTACCCAGTCTGATGCCTGGCACAGGAGTGGCTGCTCAATCCTCATTTGCCAGGCACACTTTCATTAGCCTCCAGCTCTGTGGAGGGTCTCATGGATGGTGGTGCCCGGCACAATCCCATCGGGCTGAGGAAATGAGGAAGGCCAACATCCAAGCTACATGTCACCCCCTGGCCTGGGGCTGAAGCCACTCAGTGGGCGAGGCCCCTTTTCTAACTTGCACACAGGAGCCATGCGGGCCGGTGGTGGCTCTGTCTGCAGGAATCCTTCCCGGGGGTCTCTACATGCTATTGAAGTGACTAATGAACCTTCCCAGCTGTCCACACAAAATACAGTCATAGAAAAATAGTGACCAAAATTGGTGTGTAGCAAACAAGTACAGACAGACTGAAGAAAGGAGGACATCATAACGGCAAGTAGAAACCCAAGGTCAGTGTGGACTTTGGAAGAGAGAAGGTTGCGTAGCTAGGATTGTTCACAGGAAAGGAAGACGTAGCCTATAACACCGGCATTTACTGCATTCAGCAAAATGTGCCCGTTAGTAGAATAGGGGTGGTTGTTCCCCGCCATAAAATACATAAAATGCCTCTGAAGTCATTTATTTTCCCTTGCTCTGCTTCCAGGTTCCAAATTACCACCCGTTACTAATTTTGTTTTGCCTCAGCACTGGAAAAGGAGCAAGTGGCATAAGGGACGTGAATCTGTAGTTGCTGGAAAGTCACCCAGCCCCTGCCACGGCCCCCGTGCACACCCCCACATGACACCGAGTAAAATGAATACATTTACAGGAGATTCGGGTTTAGGACACTTAGGAGACAGCCCTGGCAGGTGCCACAGCCTGACCTGTGTGATGAGGGAAGAACAGTTCTTGTCTGTAGTCTGGCTTTTACCTCTGGAACAAAGTGAGTCCTGAGCCAGCTAAGATAATGTGAGCTGTCTCTCCATGCTGGGATGAGGGGCCACCAATATTCGGAGCTCAGGGCTAAGGGTCCAGGCTGGGGGGGCTCAGTGAGACCACCCAGAAGGAGACAGCCACCTCCAGGGGCTGCGCAGTAAATCTGCCAGTGAGCCAGCTGGGGGGATGGACCATTACACGTATAATGAGAAAGAATGCAGAACTCCTAGCAATGGAAACTTCTAGTTCTCATAGCAACTCAACTCTTTTCTTTGATCTTCTGGTTGGTTTAACAGTTCAATGATCGAACACATAATTAACTTAAGGCCCAAAGTAGCACACAGTGGTATCTTTTTTCTTTTTTCCTTTTTGAGACAGTCTCACTTTTTCGCCCTCAGTAGAGTGCCCTGGCAACAAGGCTCACAGCAACCTCAAACTCTTGGGCTCAAAGCTGTTCTCTTGCCTCCACCTCCCAAGTAGCTGGGACTAAAGGCACTACTACAGGCTACTTGGCCCTTCTACAAGGCCTGGCTATTTTTTAGAGATGGGGTCTTACTCTTGCTCAGGCTGGTCTCGAACTCCTGAGCTCAAGAAATCCACCCGCCTTGGGCCTCCCAGAGTGCTAGGATTACAGGTGTGATCCACTGTGCCGAGCCTCTTTTTTCCTTAAGAATCAAGTATCAGGCTCCTTTAAAATGTATTTTCCATGGGAGGCTGAGGCAAGAGAATCACCTAAGCCCAGGAGTTGGGGGTTGCTGTGAGCTGTGTGACGCCATGGCACCCTACTGAGGGCCCTGAAGTGAGACTCTGTCTCTAAAAAAAAAAAAAAAAGACTTTACAGAAAATGTATTTTCCATGCAAAAGTAGAGGGAAATCTACTATATCACTGCTTTCAGAAGGAAGCCCAGTGAGGGCATCTACTGTGTAGGTTTTTGTACGACCTGGAAACATACCTCCCATTAGGAGGTGGCCTGGGCCTGGGGGAGGGGTGCTGACTGAGCTCTGATGGGGCCACAGCCTCAGAGCTGAGGCAGATGCTGTCAAAGGCCCCTGCCAGTCATTTGGTCATGTCCACAGGGGGCTGGTTCAACCGTAGAACACCCACACCCAGGTCACAGCATGGCAGGCTTCTGCTGGGTTATGATCTGCCCCAGGCCCTGTTGGTTTGGGGAAGACATGGTTCTCTGAAGGCCTTTTCATCCCACAAACAGAAAAGGAAGCATCAAAGCATCAGAAGCATCTGAGGGACAAATAGACTAGAATTGGGAATTCTTTCCTTTAACCATGAGATGCTGAGAGGGAAATCTTCCCACCAAGATATATAGGCCCATCGTGACCAGATTTAGGAAACTGGATAGAACAAAACTATCTTTGGGCATCTTATTGGAAATGGACGTTTTTCTGTCCCTGACGTAGAAAGGCTTCCAAGTGACAGCCCACAATCTAGGTCCAGAATGTTTGCCTGTGGAAATGTGTAAGAACAGGGAGCACAATAGTGTTTTGTGCTTTTTTAAAATTCCTTCTGCCTGGGGTTGGGGAAGGAACAGGTGTCCCCTCAAGGTCTTCAACTGCCACCTAATGTCCCACATGTTTTTCCAAAGCCATAACTCCTTGTTATAGACAGAAGCATGATCAAAGCCCTTAGAAACCACTTAAGGAGAAAAATGTTCCTTAAGTCTGGGCCCCTATATTCCTAACACTCTGGGAGGTCAAGGTGGGATGATCACCTGAGGCCAAGAGTTTGAGACCAGCCTGGGCAAGCTAGCGAGACCCCATCTCTACAAAAGATAGAAAAATTGGCTACACATGGTGGTGTGGGTGTCTGTAGTCCCAGCTACATGGGAGGCTGAGGCAGGAGGATCCATTGAGCCCAAGAGTTTGAGGCTTGCAGTGAGCTGTGATCACAACACTGCACTCTAGCCTGGGTGATACAGCAAGATCATGTCTAAAAATCAAAAAGAAAAGAAAAGAAAAGAGTTCTTTAGGTCTAAAAAGGGGATGAATACGATCAACAGGCTAAGCACCAACTCACTTTGTTCTAAAAAAGTGGCACAAAGGGCTCCAGCCACAGGGTGGTTACCTTATGTGGTGGGATGGCATAGAGTTCCGGCACCAGGTGGATCCCGTTCTTGCCTCTGATTAATATTCCCTCTAGGGCCTCTCGGTACTCTTGGACCTGGAAAATAGCCCCATCACCCACAGTCAGAAAAAGGGCTAGTCGTGAATGCGGTACCACTAGCATGTCATAGGAAAACAGCTCTCTTGGCAACAGGTTAGAAGTTGGACACAGGGCAAAGAAACCTTCAAATGCCTCACCTCCTGTAGCGCAGGAGACACCTGCTGACAGCAAATGTTAGCGGGCTAAACACAATTGCTCCTCCCCTGCTGTGTATATGCTCAGCCCCCCCTGTCCAACTTCAGGGCAAAGGGACAAAGTACCCCATCACGCAGAATCTGTTTCTTCCTCGCAATTTTTATAGCACTCATGTCCACGATGGGTGTCACACACCTCTCCTATGCCTTCTCAAACTCGTCATTTAAATATTTCACTCTTAACTTCTCATATATTTAAATTTTGTCTTACCAACCAGATTATAAAGTTTGGGGTGGAATGAGCCAAATCATAAATAGTGTCTCCAATTCCCACCTGTTGGTAGTTTTCTGCTTAAGAGGCACTTATTATTATTTGACCACAAAGAAGGATGCAATCCTGCTATTTGCAGCAAGATGGATGGAACTGGAAGACATTGTCAAGTGAAATAAGCCAGGCACAGAAAGCCAAATATTGTATATTCTCACTCATATGTTGGAACTAAAAACGTTGATTTCATGGAAGTAGAGAGTGGAATGGTGGTTACCAGAGGCTGGAAAAGGTAGGGGGTGGGGTGGGGGATGAAGAGAGGTTGGTTTATGGGTACAAGCATACAGTTAGATAGAAGGAATCAGTTCTAATATTTGTTGGCAGTGTAGCATGACTATATTTAACAACATAGTGTATTATACAAGGGTGGGCAATTAAGTTCACAAACTCATCCTAGAAAAAGTGTTACACACTTCATTGCTGAATATCACTACAGTCACCAGATGGCCCAGGGGAGTACTTTGAAGGTGACTGTAGCGAGCAATAAGGTATGTGGCACTTTTTCTAGGATGAGGTGCCAAACTTAACTGTCCAGCTTCATATATTTCAAAACAGCTAGAAGATCTGAAATGTTCCTGTTGGGGATCTAGGGGGACCCAGTTCCCCGAACTTAGTTGACCTGGTTTGATTACTCGGCTGAGCTAGAAAGTTCAACTGAGGCATGGTGGTAACTGAAAGCAAAAGTGAGTGGAAACTGGAAATAAAACTGAAGTGGCACAGGCAGTGTGAATAGAGAGCAAGGTAACCTGCACAAGTTTCCAGGTAACAAAGAAAGATTTTATTTAGGAAGAAAACAGAGAAAGTTTAGAGTACTTTCAAAGAGAGCTGGAAGTAGGTCCCTCTCATGAAAGAGAGAGAGAAAAGCAAAGGCCTGCAGGAGCATAAATACTCTCACCCTTTGAAATTGGGTGCAAGTCTTTCATTGGCCTCTCTTTGCCTCCAGGCAGTATTGCCCTTTCCTATTGGTCACTGATTATCTCTTTCTATTGGTCATTGGTTACCTAGGTTACCTCATACCCACATTCTTATTGGCCCTCCAAGACTTCCTGGTTCAACAGGCTAGGTTTTCCTCCCACTCCTCTTGAAGCCCCTTTCTTTATGTTCCTTCTCAGTTCCCAGTGCAAAGAAATGATGCATGTTCAAGGTGAGGGATATCTTAAATAGCCTGATTTGATACATTACATATTATATGCATGTATCAGAATATCACATGTACCTCATAAATAGGTATAAATATTCTGTATCAATAAAAAAATCTTAAAGGCACCCATTGAAACATTTATTGCTCAAGTACTATTTGCTGAATAAATCTGATGTGAGAAAAATGAAATGTACATACTATGATTCATGTACACTGATTCTTAGGATGCACTACCCAATACAAGAAAAGTTGTTGAAGCAAAGGTTTCCATTAAATTAAAAAAGCAGTGGCTCGGCGCCTATAGCTCAACCTGCTAAGGCGCCAGCCACGTACACCTAAGGTGGCAGGTTCGAATCCCCAGCCCGGACCCGCCAAACAACAATGATGGCTGCAACCAAAAAATAGCCAGGCGTTGTGGCGGGCGCCTGTGGTCCCAGCTGCTTGGGAGGCAGAGGCAGGAGACTCGCTTGAGCCCAGGAGTTGGAGGTTGCTGTGAGCTGTAATGCCACGGCACTCTTAGGGTGACATAGTGAGACTCTGTCTCAAAAAAAAAAAAAGACTAACCTACAATAATAAAGTTGACTCTTAAAAAAAAAAAATAAATAAAATAAAAAAAAAATAAAAAAGCAGTAATAAAAACTAACGTATGAGAAAAGAGAGAAGGAGAGGAACCCTTAACCAGTCACCCAACTATTTAACACATTTCTTCTTTGGCGAGCCCAGTCAAGTGCCTTCCAGATCTCATTTTCTTTTCATTTTCAATTTATGCATGGCAAAGCATGACCACAAGTGTATCACTTTTTAAATGTCACTGGGCGACAAGTGAGCAGGCCCACACTGGTATAGGGTAGTACATTCCGAAAGACCTGAAAACAAGATGCTAAGCATTTTCCTCTCCTCAGCTTTTTCTTTTTCCCCCTAATCATTGTTAAGGCTGTTCACAGTCGGAATTCAAACTCACTCCTTTTAAGATCTTTCAATTCTGAGATAAAAAAGACAGAAAGCCCAAGGTAATCAGTAAACCTTAAGAGTAAGAATCAACAACAGGGAATATTGACATTTCAAGCTTACTGCCAGTTCTGACGCTCCTGGGCAGTCCTGAGCTGGGGAACTTTCAAAAGCTAAAAAGAACCTCTGGTTGCTCATCAGCCCCTCCCTGAGACGTGAGACACAACCTGCTGAAAGATGGCAAAGCATCTGAATGCCAGTCATTCACATAAGCTTCCCGGCTCTGCTCCACGAGGTATGCTCAGGGCTCAGCGCAGGGCTCAAGTAGAAGCTAGAGAAATTTGCCTTGACCAAATGAGTGTTACATTCCAGATATTCACTGAGCTCCACGTACTCAGCACAGGGACTATATGTGTAAACCAGATAGAGATGGTCTCTACCAGGGCCCTTTGACAGGTAAGTGGGAAATGAAATATTCCCTCTGTGTGGCCCATGCTGTTACAGGTACTGTGGGGCACAGGGGTATCTGACCCAGATTCTAGGGTCAGAGAAGGCTTTCAGAAGGAACCAGGTGAAGGAGGGAGGAGAACTGAGGAAGAAAAGAATGTTCTAGGCCTTTGAGATGCGAGGAGAGTATGACCTGGTCCAAGGACCGAATGGAGTTCAGTGTGCTTGGATCACAGAACTCGAGAGAGGGAATAAGCAGTAAGAAGTTAGGCTAAAATGGTAAAAACACAGACCAGAGGCTCTGGAACCCTACAAAACACACGAAGCACTTGGACTTCACCCCAGAAGCAATGAGAAAGCCACTGCAGTAGCATAATGGAATTCTTCCCTGGGTGAGAACAGAAACAGCAGGGAGCTGGGGCAAGGCTGGGAGACCAATTAGGAGGCTGTTATATTAAACACCGAGTTATCCGAGAGCGCATTAAACTACAGCTGAAGACAGCAAAACCACTGGCTGATCCGGAAAGAACAACAGCAACAACAGAACTGTCCATGACAGACTGTTCATGGGTGGTCCCCAATAACCCATGCCTCCTAGTACTCATGCCCTTGTCTAGTCCCCTCCCCCTTGAACGTGGGATGGCCCTTTTCCCAAAAGAATGTGATCAGAGTAACACTTTGCCAGTTTCTGGCCTAAATCTTAAGAAAGGTTGGCAGTGCTGCTTTTGCCTTCTGGGAGGTGAGAGGAAGACAACTACCACATAAAATGGTCTAATGGCCCAGAGACTACAATGCTGTGGGTCCCCCAAGCTAGTCACATGGAGGAGAGTCAAGGCCCCAGCCACCAGCACAGCTGAGCTCTCAGCATCAGCTACCAGCCGGCATCCACCCGTGAGTGGAGGCCATCTTGGAGGTAGATCCTCCGCCCTATAGAACCATCCCAGCTGACACCAGGTGAGACAACCTGTCCCTGCTGGGTCCTGTCCAAATTGAAGAATCAGGAGCAAATAAGTACAAGAGCCATTGCTTCCATTTCACTGAATTTGGGGGAAATTTGTTAAATGGCAACAGATAACCAAAACAGTGACTTAAATTCTTGCATAACCTGCATTCTAATAATCAGCACACCAGTGGGATGAAGTGCTTACTACCAACATAATGCCCAGCATTTGCTCACCTGAACAGCGTCACCGTTGAAGACTCCATCTATTATAAAATATGTCCAGAACACAGGCCACTCACATTCGATGTTTTCAAAGAGCTTGAGTTCCGCTGGATCATAATGCAATCTGCTTGGGTCCTGGAATCACATATGTCAATCTTTTAAACTAAGGGCCATGTCACATTACATACAGAATACCGCTGTGCCTCCCTGGGTTTTCCTTGCTGGCCTGGTTTAATGCCGCTCTGAGATGGCAGGACTACGATTTTGCTATAAATGGGGAGATGCTATTTTTGGCAGTTTTCCATGATACATTTTCAGAAAGTAAAAACACATACAAGACTCCTTGATAGTTTATTACACTAAAACGTCCTATGTCTTTAACAAATAAATAGCAATTTGCCCATCACACTGCTTTGCAGACAATCTGTTTTATTTATATCATTGTATTGTATTAGTCACTGTGGCAAAGAAAGCCAAAGAGAAGCCACCGTCTTTATGAAAAATGTGTGGGCCACAAAACTGTTTGTCCTTGTCTACAAGCTGGTTTGCAACTACTAGCTCACCGTCTTCCTGAGGATCTTACTATTCTACTGCCTAACTGCAGGCTTGCTGACTCCCAAATTAATACTTCCTTTTCCAATATTCCAACATATAATTATAATCAATAGATGGAGAATAACGCAGGGGCAACTCAGATATGAAGCAGTTATGGAACCATAAGAAACAGTGCATAAATACAACCTCTCTCGGGGTTTTATAACCATCTCGGAGAAAGCGACAGCATCCGTAACGCCCCTAATAAGATAAAGCAAGAAAGGACATTTGATGAGATCAGAGGAATTTCTCTTGCCTCCTTGGTAATTCATGTCAGCCCTTGACCCTCTTTCCCATAAATCTCTTGGTGATGAATTTTGTGTACAACCCAGTGTTCTTTGCTTATCCGTACGGTTATTTTTTAAGTGATAAGCAAAGTACATTCAGGTTTGAGGAGTACCCAGAAGGGAATGCCAAACAGTCCATTGAAGTAGTGGGGCTGCAAGAATAATTCCTAAGAGTTCAGTGAAGGACGCCTCTTTTGTTCTGATTTACTGTATCACACAAAGACGCAAAGGGACCTTCACTATTTAGGGCAGATGCTTAGACTGGTTTACTCCTACTGGAAAGATTCGGAAGCTAAAAGGATATTCCCTAGACGAGGCTCTGGGTGCACCCACACACACACACAGCGCTCAGCAGGGCGCTAGGGAGGGACCTTCCTGGGCTCAGGCCCATCCCTGCTAGCTTTCCTGCTGTAGGCGCTGGTGTTCCTCTCCAGCTTCTTGGGTCTCAGGAGAGGAGGGAAGGGGCAGCAATCTCTTAATCTGACCCCCTAAGCCTTGGATCGCAGCTTTGGGTGTCCATTCTCCAGCTTCTTGCAGGGGTGGGGGGGCTACTGCCGCAGAGGCTGCTCTACCTCAGCGCAGAGACAGGTCTGTGCTGTCCTGAGGGTCCTCCCCTGAGGCTCAGCCCAGAACCTGCTCTGGTCCTAAACCTTCCCTGCACTAACTCCCTTCCCTCTTCAACTACCTGAAAAGATTCCTTTTTCTCCACTGAACCCTGACTGCTACGGCTGCCTTCTTTTGGAAATATGACTGGAGACCAAGGGCAAAAAACCCATTTGCCACCAAATTTAAGTAGGACGATTAGCACACAGATTTCAGCCTAGGAAACTTAGATTCTTTGATAATTTCCTTGATAACTGCCGTTGGCTGGAATACTTAATAACGTTCTCAGTTTAGTGTACTGTGTCATACTTACTGCATTTCACCTCAGAACAGGGATTTTTTTCTTTTTTTTGAGACAGAGTCTCAATTTATAGCCCTTGGTAGAGTGCCATAGTGTCACAGTTCACAGCAACCTCAAACTCCTGGGTTCAAGTAACCCTCCTGCCTCAGCTCCCAAGAAGCTAGGCCTACAGGTGCCCGCCACAACACCCAGCTAGTTTTTCTATTTTTAGTAGAAACAGGGTCTCGCTCTTGCTCACACTGGTCTCGAACTCAGCTCAAGCAACCCACCTGCCTCAGTCTCCTAGAGTGCTAGGATTAAAGGTGTGAGCTACTGCGCCCAGCCACAACAGGGATTTTGAAAAACTTACTGTAACGTTGGGATCACCAAGTTCCCTGAAATTGTGTGTGAAGTTTGAGATATTGGGCCATATGCATTTTTGTTTCTAGCTTTCAAGAGACTCTCAAAGCAGACTGTGACCTCTACAGGGCTAAGTAGCTCTACTGTAGAATTCCGCAGCAGTGTGAATTCAGAGCTGCCTGCTGGAGGAGAGCCAAGCCATTTCATCACTCTGAGACTTGGTTTTCACACCTGCAAACTTGGCTTTAGGAGACCACTGAGCCAAACCAAGTCATTACCTCCCGGAGAAGCGAGGTGTGAGTGAGCTGCTCCACGGGTCATGTCACGTGCACTGCTCATATGAGAGGGGCACTTAACACAGGGCGGAAGGGCAGCAGCCTGACCAGTGCTTACCTGCAGCTTGGAAATAATTTCATTTTTGGTCACATTCACCAGGTTTCCATCTTCCACGGCAAAGGCCGGGAAGGAAATGATGGAAAGAAGTCCAGCATCAATCTCTTTAGATGTCGATGCTCTGGGCAGCATGGAGAACAGAATAGACTGAATGGGAAACAAAGAGGCGCTGAGAGTTAGATGGCGGATCTAAAGGCTATGACCTTACTTCTAAGGGGACATTCAAATGAGGCGGCCAATTTTGATAGAACTCTGTCCTACTAGCATAGTTCCTGCTGGCCATCTTGCCCACCCCAGCTAATAATTCCTGTTCTTTGTGGAGCCCCTGGGAGTGGAGAAAGCATGGTCTGCCTGGAGCCTGTGCTGGGAGCTCCTTGTGTCCCATCCTCCTGTGCCCTCCGTTGACCCTGCTGCACCTTTAGGTCATGTAGGAATTACAGGGATACCAGTGTCAGTAGGCTAAGGTGTCCTGGCTAGGAAGGCAGACCAAAAAACACATATATGGGGCCAGCATGGAGAAATGTCTGGCTTCTGTGGAATATGACCAGTTGGATGAGGTGATCCAGAAACCACTTAAAGTAGGAGTCAAATCCAGAAGATCTCATGAATGTGCAGGCTAAGTGGTCCTAGGGCCTTTGTAGGGTTACTTAGAGGCATCGGAATATGGCTTCGATTGTAAGGTGGCTGTATTAGACATTGTAAACTTGGAAAGAAGTTCAAATTATAAGGAAATTTGGGGAAGAGTTTCACATGAACAGACATGGAGCCAGACCTCTGCAAACATAAGCTCATTAACTCTCCCACATAGGAAGGACTTAGAGTATTATGTCCAATTCACATATGAGGACTCTGAGATATAGAGACTTGTGCATAAGGGCACGCAGCTAGTAAGTGACAAGCCCAGCTGGCTGCAAAGCTCACACACTTCCGCTGGACTATTTGTCTATTAAGATGCACTCCAGCCTGACTCTGTTGCCCCAAGAAAGATCAGATTTCCCCTTAAGCACTACTTAATGGGGTGAAATGGAGTAAGCTGGAAGGTGGGGTCATGCGATGTATAGAACATATCAGCTTCAGAATAAAGTTTTATTTTCCAGAGCCAACTGGCCCTGGGCCCTGCTCTGTAACTAGTCACTCTTCCCTAGGCTTTCTCTGCCTGAAATCCTAACTCCCACTGGGAACTCTCCATTCAAGTTTTTTTTTTTTCCTCTTTTGGATAAATTTAATAAGAAGCAGATCTTAGAGGGACTCAGTATCATACACCTGCATCAAGCTTTAATCTTTATGTTGTTTTCAATATTATGACACTGGAGTCATATTTTTTTTTTCAGGTTTTCATGAATCTGACTCACTTTAGCCCTGGCACAGTATCTGGTACACAGTAGGCCCTCACTAAATAAGACTTTGCTGACTGGCTAGCAATTGATGATTTTCTGTCTGCTTACTAAGTGCTCCAACGTGTATCAAATCATTCCTTTCTCTGAGGTGGCTCATGCCTATAATCCTAGCACTCTGGGAGGCCAAGGCAGGTGGACTTCCTGAGCTCACAAGTTCAAGACCAGCCTGAGCCAGAGTGAGACCGCATCTCTAAAAATAGCCGGGCATCATGGCAGGTGCCTGTAGTCCCAGTTACTTGGGAGGCTGAGGCAAAAGAATCACTTGAGCCCAAAAGTTTGAGGTTGCTGAGAGCTATGACACCATGGCATTCTACCAAGAATGACAAAGTGACACTCAGTCTAAAAAAAAACAAAAAAAAATTCCTTTTTCTGATCTGTGTTTCATGGAGGTTCTACTAATCTCCCATCTCTCTCATCTCATCTCTTCTCCACTACCCATCTCGTGCATCCTCAACCTCGCCACCACCACCAAGTGCACTAGCGCTTGCTGGCCATTCAATTTGGGGGCTCTTTGAAAATAAACCTGAGAGAAAACCACCAATGTGCTCAAAAAATATAAAACAGATTTTGCCTCTCTCACAAGGCTGCTTTGACTGCTGACTCCATACACATGGCATCACCGTGTCTTCCATTTCCACCGTACTTTCTGGCTTACAAAGTGTTTGGACAAACTAAGTTGATTTACTTTGATCCTAAGCTTTGTGCAGTGGCAGTGTCAGAGCCAATGAGGTTTATCCGCAGCACGATTATTGCCAATTGATCCTTACAACCACCCTATGAAGCAGGAGGGGGTCCCAGCATGCCCCTCATTTTACAGCTGAGGAAATTAGCTCAAAGAAGCCAAGTACAGCCCAGGTAGAAGGTAGAGAAGGCGGGCCCAGGTTCCCTCCGGGCCTCTCTCTCCTTCCCTATTCTCAATGCAAGAGACTGGCTGTTACCTGGCAATGCTCAACTTCATCAGGCAGGACATGGATCACTGACTTGCGTCCTCCATGTGCTCCAAACAGGTCCAGTTCATCAATTGCCTCAAGAGCAGCCTACAAACACAGGCAGGAATTACTTTTTCTTTCTAATATACATACACTCCAACATCCGGCACGCCTCTGTCATTAAGCAACCTAGCATACACGTTCTCCCAAAGGCGATGAATCACATCCTTAAAATCCAGCCATCAAGTCCTAGAGTCATGTTCTACCCCTATTTTCAGTGGATCAGAGCTTTCCCGTAGGTTGCTTCTCAATACGGGAACAAGAAGAAGAAAACAGAAAGACATTGCCCCAAATGAAGTGAGCATTCAACCAAAAAAATGAAAGAGTAACCAGGCCACAGTAGCATGGGTGTGTATGTATGGCACTACATTCACGGTCGACTTTCCCCTCACCTATGTTAGCAGTGACTTTGAACATGGTGTATCTGGGACTTCAGAAAGTTCACTCATTGAGTAATAAGCACATTTTCTGCCCATTTACCTTAACAGAGCATATGTATTGTTAGTTTAAACATTCTGGCACGGGAGCCTTTACTCTGTCCAAAAATACACGTCAGTCTTGAGCAAGAGGGAGGGAAGGAGGCAGGGTAAGTGTCTGTGACAACAGCAGGACCTCGGGCTGTGCTGTATACTGAACCTGCCCCCGCAGCTGTGCTCTGTCTGGCAGGGCATTTCCGAAATGAGTCTGCACTGGAATGCCCTGAGGGCAAGCTCCTAGAGTCCAGATACTCGCCCCTGGACAGCCTGCTATCTGGCCAACTTCACTCCTATTGTTACTCACCTGAACTTGCAGACTTTCGAACTTGTGAGCCCGACCCACAAAGCGATCATATTCTTCAGCCCTCTCTATGACCCAGAAAAGAGGTTGGGATGTCATACATGCAGCTCCTCCAACAACCAGAGCTCAGATCAGTGTTTTTTATCCTTTTTTAATCTCAGGGAACACTTGGACCTATAGTTAAACTTCCATGGCACTCTTACATTAAGTTGATTAAAAACAAAAGAGTAAAAAAAAGAATATACTTATTGTACTTTGAACTTCTTTTGAAAATAGTTTAATTAATGATCTTTTAAAAAATTTTCACAGGACCCTTAGATCCTCTCATAGCTCACACCAGTTGAAAATCACTGGCTTGGACCCACGGGTGACAATACTGGCTAACAAGGATGGAGTGCTCTGTGTTTGCACCACACGCAGACCTCGGCATGGGAAACCTACTTTCTTTACTCATCATTTTAGTTGGCGGGGGTGACGGGAGTGTGTACACATGCCACTTGAACTTCACATTCTTGCCGTTGACTTTCGAAAAATGTGCTAATCAGATTAAATCCAAATTCCTCATGAACCAAATGAAAGCAGTACAAACACACAGAGGAAGAATAAACAGGAGGACTGTCACCTTCGCCATTCCTACAGAGCTGGCATTCAGTTCCGGGATACCCTGGTTAGTCTTATCGCCACGCTCCCACATTCCGTAATCCTGGGGGGGAGAGAAGTAGCGATCAGAAGGGGAGAAAGAGGCGCATGAGAAGCGCTAAGGCGCTGGCCCAGCACCCGCAGCTCAGCAGGTAGGGTGCCGGCCACATACACCAAGGCGGGCAGGTTTGAGCCCAGCCCCGGCCTGCTAAACAACAATGACAACTGCAACCAGAAAACAGCTGGGCATTGTAGCGGGTGCCTGTAGTCCCAGCTACTTGGGAGGCTGAGGCAAGAGGATTGCTTAAGCCCAAGAGTTTGAGGTTGCTGTGAGCTGTGACACCACAGTACTCTACCCAAGGTGACACAGTGAGACTCTGTCTCAAAAAAAAGAAAAAAGAGAGGTGCTAAGGCTAAATGTTTCCTTTACAATGCCACAGGCGTAATGGACCGTCTCCAAGACTCTGCAGCTCCTGCTGCCTACCTCTCAGCTGCGGTTCCTGCGACCTCTGTGCAGACTTATTGAAGAAAATACTCAAGTGGAACAAAAGCACTCTCGAATTTCCTTTTCTAAAAGGTATTAATTTGTAAGAAGCTCTTGATATATGAGAACAAAAATATTATATTTATCTTAAAATCAAATAAAATGCTGCCGTTCTATTTAACCAGTGCCTCTGACCTTATATGAAATTGTTGGATGGAATACAGAAACGTTAACAAGTGGCTTGTATCTACTTAAAGCCAAGAAAGCCATCTACAAGAATTTAATACCTATTTTTAGCATTACCTCATGGGGCCCAAAAAAGGCTTAAGCAAGTAAGTGGAGCCGAAGTCAACACTGAGGCACAGAACGCTGAATCTGTGTGGCGTTTGTAACCAATTAATGAATTGGCTGGGAACACTGTCACACAGAGGACTGAGATACGTGTACCTACTAGTCATAGTTCCTATTTTCATTTCAACACCCGTGTATTGGATGCTGGTTTGAAATAATGCTATGTGCACTGGTGAAAGCTTACGACCCAACAAAAACAGGACTGAAGTTCATCTCCAAAGATGACCATTTTTGAGATGTGAAAATTAAGACTGGGACATCCTGGGGCCAGTTTTGACGCCTTCCTGCCGCACAAGCCTAGCAGCTGAGCTCAGGACTCCCTCCTCCAGTACTCCTGGAGTCCTGCCCTCCTGCACGCCAGCCCATCCTTCCTCCCACCCCAGGGCCAGGTGACTCATCCTCAAACACTGCTTTCATCCCTTCACTTCCTGCTTCAGAGTCGAAAATGACGAGTGGAACACATTCACGGCTCTGTCTGGATGGCATGCCTTCTGTGACCTGGCCTCCCGCTGCGTGCCTACAAGCTGACTTTATTTTCTATTCTTTTCCAATGTCAACTTTCACTCAAGTCTACTCCTTCACTCTACACCCTTCTCCCCAAGTTCCCCCCTGCACATGCTCAGAGGCTCTTCCTGCCTCCTGGACTGCTCAAGCTATTCGAAATGCCCAATGCCCCTGGGCTTCCCTAGACCTTGCTCAACCTCCAAGGAACAACTAAAGGCCCACCCTTTCCATAAGGACTCCGCAAGTTAGCCCCGAAGAGCCTGGGCCTCAAGGAACTGTATGATTTTTATTCTTTTTGACGACTAGCATGCCTGGACAGACTACCAGGGTGGATCCTTACGGCGACTTTATATGCAGCTTCGATGTAAAAGACAAGATTCTGGATGAAGGCCACTTCGTCGAGGGTGAAAACAATACGTAAGCCTAGGAAAGAAAAACACTGAGGTTATTAAGTCATGTTGTGAAGAGAGAGCTACCAATCATGAATTCTAAATATCACACTGAGAAATAAGTCCTTTTACCCTTATTTTCGTTTTTCTCCATAAGGCATCAAAAATTAAGTTTGAAGGAAGTCATCACAGTTAATGTCTGATCTAAGGAAGGAAGGGAGAGGAGGAGGGAATGAGGGAAGGGAGGGAGCGATGGACGAGGGGAGGTAGCGGGAAAGAAAGGAGAGGAGAGGAGAAGAGGGAAGGAAGAAAAGGAGGAGGAACAGAAGGAGGGAAGGAGGAAAGAAAGGACGGAAAGAGAGAGCAGGCTCTACTTTCCTGTGTGTCCCTAAGAGTAGAAAGGGTTGAAATGGAAGGTACGGGGTCTCTTGTACATGTTGGATTGGCGCAGAGAAAGTTCCAACAAAGCAAGGATTTAGCCCAGAAGAACCAGAGACACTGTCCTGATCCTTGACTGAGCCCAAGGGAACGGTGAGTACTTTTCCCCATAGGTACTACACTTGATCTTAGCCAAAAGGCTGAGAAGCAATCCCCCTGAGGATATATAGGGAAACTAGAGCCCCCAGATTCAGGAGCTGGCCCTCTGCCCCCCAACCACCCTCCCTTTCCCCATGGAAACCCCAGCTCCCAGAACGTGCCTGGGGGTCGGGGGGGGGGGTTGCATCAACTCACTGAGGCAGGTGAGTTCAAGAAAGCTGATTTGTTGTTTGGAAATTGAAGTTGTCTTGAAATTACAGTCAGGTATGGCAATAGTATATGTATTTTTTTAAAAATATGAATTATTGATACTGGTATGAATATGATAAGATATGCACTCTTACATCGGTGAGGGAAGTTTTAGTAAGCTAGATTAGAAGTTTAACTAGAAATGGAAAACAATTTGGCAATGTGTATGAGTAGCCTTTGAATGACATCTAACCATCAGAAAGAGGTAGACAGAGATGGATGGGGTCAAAGTTGGCACGGCAACATTAGTTATAACAGCAAAAAATAAAAAAATAAATAAAGGAATAGTTGATTGTGATGTAGCCACTGATAGAGTCACTAAAATAATGTTTATGAAGGACTTGCAAGATCACTGGGGAAATGCTTAAGTTACAATGCTGTGTCATGAGAAGACGACGTTCGCATGTATAATGTGCCCTTAAATATGTAAGAAAAGTACAGAGGAAAGACTAGAGGGGACACCTCCAAATGAAAATCAGCAGTGGAATTTTTTCTTTCTATTTTGGCATATTTTCCAAAATGTCTACAGTGAGCTCATATTAACTTTCATAACCCCAAAGTATTTGGATAAATGTGTAGTTTGTTCACTAAGTCATAATGATGCTGCTTTTAGAGTTTCACATTTGTAGTCTGAAATAAATGGCCGACTTCAGGAAGGCAGTTGACTGGGCTGGTGAGTGATGAGGACTCTGAGACAGAGCCACTAAGTGCCCTAACCTGGGGAAGTATCCAGAGCAGATGCCATCATGGGACAGCGAGACCACTTGGTGTGCACAGATGGCCACAGTGCAGAGCTCAGGAAACCTGGAGTCCAGGCTGCTGTAGAAGCCGGCAGCTCTGGCTTCAACAGGAACAAGGCATGCCATCTGTGAGCTGTGGGTGATGCTGAGTGGTGGAAATGACGCTGTTTGAATGTAATTTGGGTAAATGAGGGTGTGTCTCGAAGAGGATTACTGGGGTAGTGACAGGAGAGCCAAAGGGACAAGGCTGCTAATCCCTCTGAAAGCAGAGGTGAGACTGCCTGCAGATAGCTGAATTGCCAACATTGGACCTGACCTACGTTGCTCCAGGAACTAGGTGAGAATGACAGCAAGAAAGCTCTGTGCTCAACAGAAAGAAGCTAGCGTCCAGCTCAACAGCCCTCATGCTGCAGGTGCCAGGTAGGGAATGACTATCCTGTCTGCAGGTCACAGACAGGGTCCCTGCGCTTACTCCCTGCCCTGTCACAGAGCCAAATGTGTTATATCATAGAGAAGTGTGCTTTTCCTTTACATAAACTGCTCACTCAGAATTACAGCTTGAATGTGCTCCTTCCAAAATCCAGGTGTCGACAATGTGATGGTATTAAGGGGTGGAGGCTTAAGAAATGACTAGGCCATGCTGACTCCTCCCCTATGAGTAGGATTAAGGCTCCTCAGAGTGTTTGACTCCTTGCCCTTTTGTCTCCTGCCATATGAAGACACAGTGTTCCTCTATTCTGGAAGATGCAACCCCTATCAGACCAACCAAACCTGTTGGTGCCTTGATCTTGGACTTCCCAGCCTCTAGAACAGTGAGAAAATGCACTTCCATTCTTCATAGCCTGCCCAGTCTTGGGTATTTTCTCATAGCAACACAAACAGACTAAGACACGGGCTGCAGTCTGCCCTCCTCCCCACCCATTTTCTGGATTGTCGGTCCCTGTACAACACGCTCACCCGAGGCAGTCATCTGGGCCAGGAACAGTAGGAAGAGAGAGGTGGCATCCACCTGGAGGTGGCCCCACTGGTCATCGCCCACCACAGTGCTGCAGGTGGCGCTGTTGTACTTGGCATGCAGGCTGTCCTTGGTACTCTGAGTGTGCTTGAACTTCTCCACTTTGTCCACCTGAGGGGGAAGGTGAGCAAGCTCCACATAGTTACAGGGGTTCGCAGCTGCTGGAGGATCTAGACCTGTGGTTTTCAACCTGTAGGTCACGACCCACAGGAACTGTATTAAAGGGCTGCAGCATTAAGCAGGTTGAGAACCACTGATCTAGACTCTTATCTACTACTTCTGGGAGCCAGAGGACAGAAGGCAGCTGCTAGTAAGCACAGCACAGAGGGGCTGGGCAAGGGACTCTGCTCACCTATCCCCAGAGATGTCCCACCCTAGGATTTTACAAGCTATGTAGGAGTGAGACTTCATGCCCAAGGGTGTCCTTGTCTGCATATCCCCGGCTATGACACATGGCAAGTACTCAAGGAGAAAGGGAGGGGAGAAGGAAAAGGACCTGTTCAAATTTCAACTTCTCAGGTGGCACCTATGGCTCAGTGAGTAGGGCACTGACCCCATATGCCAAGGGTGGTAGGTTCAAACCCGGCCCCGGCCAAATTGCAACAAAAAAATAGCCAGGCATTGTGGCAGGCGCACCTATAATCCCAGCTACTTGGGAGGCTAAGGCAAGAGAATCGCCTGAGCCCAGGAGCTGGAGGTTGCTGTGAGCTGTGACACCATGGCATTGTACTGAGGGTGACAAAGTGAGATTCTGTCTCTAAAATAAAATAAAAATAAATAAATAAATTTCAACTTTTTATTTCCTAATTGTTGAGAGGAAAAGAGCAACTCTGTCTTTGCAGGACTATATCATATTCATTTTTGGATTTGTGCAGATCCCAGCATAATGTTCTGTATATAGTACGTGCTCAATGAATTGTTTTCTGTACCCCTCACTGACTATGTCAGTAAATGGTAGTGTCAAGTTTTAAAACCTCAAGCATTTTGTCTCAGATGAAAATATACCCTTTGGCTCGGTGCCTGTAGCACAGTGGTTACGGTGCCAGCCACATGCACCGAGGTTGATGGGTTTAAGTCCAGCCCCAGCCAGCTAAGCAACAATGACATCTGCAACAAGAAAATAGCCAGGCGTTGTGG